TCTTTCTCTATTTCTCCTCGGTTGAGTCAGTTTTGCTATTTGATTTTAGAGTCAATAACTCAACCTTTGTGAGATTTTGTGTGGTGTTTGTGTTCTGGTTACTCTCTCTTCCTGGAATGCACCGCCTGACCCGTTCATCATCATTCACCCTTGATCTGGTAACTTCGTTCTACCCTCCTTATCTTTCCTCCATTGAGGACAATGTCGTGCTTAAGTGTGGGGGGATGTTCGATTATGTATGCGGGTAAATGTTTGGCTGTTTGTGTGCTTGGAGCCTAGTCCACTGTCCAAATTTTTAAATTTGAGGGCTCCAGGTACGTGTTCCTTGCAATTGCCTGCTCAGTATGCTTTGAATTGACAGTCTTTATAGTAATATGCAACCTAGGGAGGTAGTGTAGCACTATGGAGGATGTTGATGCATTTAAGAAATCTCATTTCTTCTTCATATTGTGTTGGTTGATTGAGTGAATTAGTGATCTTAGGACCCTTGAATTGTGTGGTGTTGTGGACTCTCTACCTGTCATGGACTCTTGTATCATGTTTTGAAAGTAACAGGTGCTCGAAAATGTGCTTCAAAATAACATCTCCCGTGCGAATAGGGCGAAAGTGTGTAAGGGGAGACGGGAATTCGTTCCCAATTTCCACCTACTACCTCCAGCCCCCTTACATGTCTTTCCCCGCACGAGGCTCGAGACATCCGCTCCTAGCATGGCCGGTAAGAGCAGGTTGGGACCCTTGAAAAAAAAAAGAGTAAAGAAAAAATAACAGAAAACAAGCAAAACAGAAAGAAAAGGGGTTCCAACCATCTTCAAAGAAAATAGAGCACCTTGAAAAATGTGATCCATGATCCTTTGTTTTTGAGAATCTCTTCATCCACAATTCATTTGTCCTCTGTTCACTATTTGCCATGATGCCGACTCGATACTAGTGCTCTCGCCGAAGAAGCTATGAGATGACTTGTGTGTCGGTTGACCTCGTAAGCTGCTAAACGATCTAGGAAGTCCTCTACCTACGATCTGGGGTGTATGTTGCTACAGAGCTCTGGAGAGCTGCATTGGTTTGAGTTAGGTTTGCTTGGGGACAAGCAAACAGTTAAGTGTGGGGGGATTTGATGACTCGGTATTTGCACATGTTTTCCCCTTTGTTTCTTGATTGTTTGAGCTTGAATTATCGTGTCTTTGGCCTATTTTACGCTAGGTTGTGTTCCTTTGTCACATTTCAGGTCCTAGCACATAAAGTGAAGCATATGCGCAAGTTTCAAGTCAATCAGAGATCAATTGACGATTCGGGAGAAAAAACTCGGGTATGACCTGAAGAAGAATGGATTTCTACCTCACATTATGGACAAAGAATCAATGCAAGCTTGTCATGAAAAGAAAGAGGACAAGACTACGAGCGTCTGGGATAAAACGGCGACTGATTCGGAGTCCGGACAAGGGAGAAACGAAGCATTAAACAGAGGCTGAGCAAGCCACACGGGCACAACCCACACGGCCGTATGATATGGCCATGTGGCCGTGTGGAAATCACCGAGCCTTCACACGGGCAGCTGGGAAAGCCACACGGCCGTGTGGCCTGGCCGTGTGAGTCGAGAACTGCTATTTAAAACCCGATTTTCAGCAAAAGGAGAGGGAGAGAGCTGGGTTTTGGATCCCAAACACCCAAGGGACGAACCCTAGAGAGAGAGAGCGACTTGGGAACATTCTTGGAGCTATTTTGGAGGATTTCTTCGCCATTGAAGCTCGGGAATCAAGCTTGGAGATGGAGATTGAAGATCTAGATCAGATTTCTGCAGTCTCTCTCTTCTCTATGGAGTAACTTCCCTTCACTTAGGTTTTGAGGAACCCTAGTTCCATGAGTTAGGATCTTTCTTGTATGAAGTTTTGGATGCTATATTGTTTGATTATAATCGAATGATGCATATTTATTGAGTCAATTGAAGTCTGATCAACTTTTCCTGATTTCTGCTGCAATCTGAGATAAGTAGAATCTGATTAGGTTGTTAGAGCCTCATCATTCGATAGTAGGAGATTGGCTATACGAGAGTTAGCCAGTTTACTGCTTTGTACTGGAATCCAATTCCAGTAGTGGAGTTCTGTTCTTACTGTTTCAGCTTTCTATCCCGGTGAAGACTAGTCGTCTGCCGGGTAGTTAGACTGAGAGGGCTTGGTCAGCTTAAGAGATTCCAAGCTGCTGTCGGATCTTCTGCAGTTTAATCAACAGTAAAACAACCAAAAGGAATTACAACTTGGAACTAATTGAGGAGCTAGGGGGGATCATACCTAAGTGATACAACATCTTGTATTATACATACTAAATTCATACTTTTATGTTATGGTGGATTGGATTCGTGGATTGGTTCAAAAGGATTGGTGGATTGGATTCGTGAATTCAAGTGAAATCTAATCATTGGACAAATATGCAAATTTGAAAAATTGTAGGTACGAAAATCTCATAAAATGTAGATGTCAAAACAAAATAGTTCAATGATTTTTCATTAAACTTAAATTTGGGTTATCAAAATGTAAAATTTACATTATAGTGACTAAGTTGTGATTTAATGAAATTGGGGGTATCAAAATGTAAATTTTATGCAACGGTAACCAAACGCCAGCTTAAAATTAAATTTTGGTTATCAAAATGTTAAATGTACATTATGGTAACTAAGTTGTGATTTAATTATTATAGTGACTAAGTTATAATTTAATTAAATTCGGGACATCAAAATATAAATTTTAATGCAACGTTAACCCAATTTCAGCTTAAAATTAAATTTGGAGTATTAAAATGTATAATGACTAAATTGTGATTTAATTAAATTTGGGGTATCAAAATATGAATATTTATGCAATAGTAACACTACTTCAGGTTTATATATATTAATTAATGGTTAATGATTAACCACTAATCACACTCTTAATTTTGCTAGCCATAATCACCACAAACCAAACTTCCATCTCTAGAATTTATGTAGACTTGTATTGTGAAATTATATGAGATATAAGAACTATGATAGTAGTACCAAAATAGAATAAGCAGAATATTATAATTTGTGAAATCATATATTGTGAATATAGAATATATAGTTTCCAAATACCAAAATGACTTCCACGTAGGATGACAATGAGGTGGGCTTGTCACAACTATATTTTCAAATATAAATAATCATACCAACCCATATATCAATGAGGGAAAGGCTTTGTAATTCTGTTTAGATACCTGTAGTTTTCACGTACCCGTAGGTAATACCCGCCTATTACATCAAATGTTATTTTACGTAAAAATTTACATGTAGATTTTCAACAATAACACTGAAAGGACCTAATACATCATGAAATCAATGAAAAATATAATAATTCTTATTATGATTATGATATTATATCCTAAAACATCTATTAGCCCATAGGATAGAGTACAATAAAGACCAATCATTCTTCTCCTACTTTGATACATCTATTCAGTAATATATAACCAACATAATCATCTTACCAAAGGGGGAAAGGTGAAGAGATTGAAGAGAGAGAAACAGATTTAGGTTTTAGTTTGGGTATATACTCCATTACATTTGTACTATTTATTTTCTCAAGTACCCTAACTATCATTGAAAAAGTTATAATTTGATTCCTATATTTTTTATAATTGAAGAAATAATCTTAATAGAACGAGATATGAGTACAGAACACGAGAGACTAAAACCATACCTATTTCATGCCCTATCAAAATTTTTGCATGTTTTAAGTTAACCACACCTAGTGACGGAGGGAGGGCTTGGGGACTGGTGTCTCAAGACCCCACTTAAAAAATTGGAAGGCAAAAATTTTCATTATATATATGGATTTCAAGAGGGGGCTTAAAATTCAAGACCTTGTTACATTTCTATTTTTTTTTTTACTCTAAAATCCAGGACCCCATTATCTTGTATATGCAACTCCACCAAAAGGACAAGAAGACTACTTCAATTAAATTATTTTTAAGCTATTTCTAAATATTAAAGATGGAATCTCGACTATAATTATTGTTTTAAATCCTAATCGAAAAGAGCTACTCCTATTCTATTATAAGTCTCTTCATTTCAGAATCCTAATAGAAAGACTCTGCAACGGGATGATAGGTTCAAATGTTTGAAGTGAGTAGATGAGCCGAACATAAAGATGGTGGGAAGAGATAAAACATAATTATTATCTATTAGTTTATTAGTTATAGGTATAATATGTTGATCTAATATGCATTTTTATCAAATATGTTGCTTTATTATTTTTTTACATCAAATATGTTTATATATTTTGAATGTTTTTTTTATAAAATATTCCTTTTGTTTAAATTTTCATCCAAAAATTGTCAACTACGATCAAACTATGCTTCGAACGACCTAACCTCAACAAAATTATAGGAAAAATGTCTGTTTTGCCACATCATTTATTTTTTCAAGTCTCGTTAAAGTGAAATTACTAGGGGTACTGGGTATACAAAAGAAACAAAAATGCTTAAGTGATATTATTAGAGATATTTTAGATATTTGTGTCTCACAAACCAAGATTCGGTCATGGTTGACGGTGTTTGGATGAAAATTTTAACAGAATGACATGTTTGATGTAAGAATAGAAGATGGATATGTTTTGTAAAGTTGCATAGTAGAATGGCATATGGTACCTATAACTCTTAGTTTATCTATTAATTAAGCTTACACTTATTATGTTTGTTCATACTGTTAGCGTTTTTATTTTTTTTGGAGAGAATTCCTACTGTTAGCGTTGAAAGGTCATTTTCAGTTATGCATCACAAACAAATTTTCAAAACGAGTAAGTGATGAGTAGTTGAACGATTTCTTGACATGATAAAAGAGGTGTTTAATATTGTAGACCGGGAATGAGTTTACAATGTTTTCAAAATATAAAATCATGTTGGGACTCATTGTAGAAACGAACAGATGTATCATATTAGTAAAACATCGAAATTACGTAGTTCATTTCGTCTATATATTTTTCAATTCATTTATCTTTACATTATTAATTTATTTTACAAGACCCCAATCAACTCAAAATCTGGCTAGGCCACCGAACACACCCGCCTCATATTATTGTGGGCTCGATTGTCATAGCAAGTGAATTGGCAAAACTTTTCCAATTTTGTGAAAGGAATCAACTGGACTGGGCTATCCGTGACATAGTGTGCCCATTTCTTTAACCAACAAGGTTAAATCAAATTCGGTCCAATTTTATTTTGGGTCGCTAAGTCTCCCGAAAGTTAGAAAAAAGCCCACTACTCAATCTGCGTAGCTCAAACCCAAACTTGTGGTCCAGTTTTTCTTGTTCACGAAGTCGGTCGTCACCTAGAACCGCCGAGCACCGGAAATCGCTTAGAAACCCAGAGACCGCGACAGCCAAACTAGATCGCTGTTCACTAACTTAGTGGAAGACGAACGATGGAATTCATAACCCAACCTGGCAAACAGCCTCAGCCAGATTGCTCCACCCTGGTTCTGGTAATCTTCACTCCGTCTTCTCCATTTATCATATTTGTGCTGAATCAATCAGAGATGCCTACATTTACCTTCAATTCGCACTGGAATCCCTGTTTGGATGCCGAGAAAATCCAATGATTAGCTGATGATGCCACTCCCCGCTTGTATTTTTTCCGATTTTATATTCACTTTGAATTACAGTTTTTAGAAGCTAGGTTGTTTCTAAGCGTGAACCATTCCGAGGAACGAACTGCCATTTTAGGTTTCCCTGATCAGTTTATTTGTTTTTTTGGTTTCGGGGTGATAGCCGGCATTGTCAATTGGGAACGTAGGACAGTTAGCAGTGGATCTACTGGTGTCGTCTACTGGAGCTGAGAGAATTGGGTATTTGGATGATCCCTACACCCTTCCTTGTGTTGGTAATGATGCTTATGGCCCCGTTCCTTCCGGGGACCTAGCTCTCCCTCTTGAAGGTGGTCGATCATCTTGCTGGCTTTACTCGTGTGATCTCATCGGTGGGATGTTATGTTAATTGATCGAACCAGTGAATGAATGAGAAGCTTCTTCTTCCTTTTATTTCTGCAGCTTATCAATCACCTGCCAATGCAATGACTCTTGTGCAGCAGCGATCCCCGGTTGTTAAGGTGTGTTTTATGAATTAGGATACATTCTCTGTTAAAATTGTTTGGAGTCTCTATGAGATTCCTATGGTGTGGTATTGTCCTCCTGAAAGTTGGAAGTGGTAACAGGGGATGATGGTTGAATACGCCAAGAACATGGCTGAGTTTGCTGCTGCCAGTGGGAAGAAGCATGTTGTTATTCTTTCTAGCTTAGAATTTGCAAGATGGCAAAGGATCGATATGTCAAGGTATGTTCTAGGCCTTACTCTTCTTTTCATCGCTAGATTCTTTGGATCAAGAAGACTACATGGAAGAGAGCGCTGAGGCGCTGAGTTCTATCCTTTAACCTGTTCACTTTGGTTGGAATTTGCAAACTAGTAGTATTCATTCTAAAGGTTCAGCTATCTCTTGGTAAAACAAAGTATAGCATGGAATTCCTTCTACTAGATGGTAGATTACTGAGCAGTGGGAGCTGGTGATATTGTCATTCCTGCACATGTTAAGGTAAAAATCTGTTGTTTGTTTTTCTTCTGAAGTTTGTTCATTTATCAGTGGGTTGCAGATATACTACCTCTCTAGCTCAAACACAGATGGAACAGATGATTCTTGTGCACAACTCGGGTGGCGAAGGCTGCAGGATTATGATCCTACACAGAGATCTTGGAATTACCTCAGCAGCTTGGCTCAAGGCAGCACCATGCAGGAAAGCACCTTGCCTTTTGAAGATGAACCAGAAGAAGAAGATTATTGCGCAAGTCTACCTTTCGCTGCTCTGTTTTCCTGTTTGAAGGTATTTACTCTTGGTCGCATGTTTAGACAGATGGCCTCCTATTGAGTATTGAGTGTCATGTATGATTTTAACTAGCTCTGTACTACTGGTCAATAATGGGTTCAACTCAGTGACAGATTATCTGCTTTTTCCCTCCCATCAGGCGAAAGGTTTGAAAGTCACATGCATATTATGTTACTGTTCTGAGGGAGACAACATGGCCGATTCTTTTGAGTTAGCCGAGGCAGCATCCAAGCTGCTGCAACTAAAACCTGATAATTTCATAGGTAAGTGAATAATGGTTATCACCATTACTACATCCACGGCCTGAATTCTGGTCTTACCTTAATCTGGTCAGCTCAGAATCTTTGAGGATGTTAATTTGATGTCTGTTTTGAACTGTCGTCTTTCAGGCGGGGATGATAGCAAGTGGCGCATCCCGTTTTCGTGGAAGACTGTGTACGGACCACCTCCAGATTTGTCCATGTTTTAGTCGTGTCGTGCGGTGGTAGACATGCAATGCTTTCATCAGGAAGGAAAAGCCAAGGAGAACATAGAAGACTTTTTTATATTCATAAAAAAAAAAAAAAAACATAGAAAACTTTTTACGGATGCGGCATGTTCGGATTGTTCTCACAATCCCATGTTTCTGGATCCTGTCAGGCTGCCACGGTCGTGTGGAGTTTATGAAGTAGAATCTGTACTCTGTTCTTGTACTACTTCTGTCAAAGCGTAATGTACCTCTTTCACGCCAATGACTAGTTATTCAACGGTCCATAGTTCTTCATGTTGGAGACAGAATGAAGGCAAAAGACCAAGGACCAAATTTCACCTTTGGGCGTGAGTTAATTCTTGATCAATACAATCTAGTCCCCCCAACTTCGAACTACACACTTTTACGTCAGTTTTTTACAACTGATTTACATGGCTATATATCTTTTAATTGAACAGGTAGATAACAATATTTCATGAATTCATGAAGAACCTATTTCTCCTATGCAAACAGCAAAAGTTTTTTTTTTTTTTTCCGTTGAATCAAAGTTTAAAAATTTTAAGTTAAAATGAGGGTGGTAAAAAGTGGTAACAAAATGATAGTGAGTGGTACAACATTGTTTTCCAAAATATATAAAAATATAATTTTGTAGATCACTATAAACTCGTTTCATCTGTTGGTTTGTTTTAATTTGGGTTAAAACAAAAGAAATAAAAAGAAATAGTAAAAAATAAAAAATAAAAATAAAAAGCCTTTTAATCTTACCCCTTGCATCTCCCTCCACTCAAAACCAAGGGATCGTCTATGGTATAGACAAATGCATAATTAAGCATTATACGCCTACCTGCCTTTGTTCGAGTATAATGAAGACAAAATACACCTCAGTAATCATAACTTGAGACTTTGTGACATTGAAAGTAAATTTTTGAAAAACCACAAATATAGCCATTTGGTCAATAACTTTAGTGACACTGTTAAAGATGCTTGGAATTCTACCATTTTCTGGTGATGTCGCCACTGTTGGTCTTAACTTTGCTAGGTTGGAATTATTGGTATTTTTTTTTATTGGGACCTGTATGTTTATTCATGAATCAAAGCATCCCTGTCCAAAGTCCAAAGAGTTAACTTTGCTAGGTTGGAATTATTGGTATTTTTTTTTATTGGGACATGTATGTTTATTCATGAATCAAAGCATCCCTGTCCAAAGTCCAAAGTGGAAAGGATAGCAATAGGTGGCCTTAAGGTCCATAGGTTCATTACCAGCCCGTTTAATGAAACTCCATTGGATCGAGCCAATCTCTGCGCCTTCTCCTTCATTTCTCAGACCATCACTCCTCCTTCTAGTCGCGTCATTTCCTCCGCCTTAATCTGTTGGATGGCAGCGAGACAGTCGCTCTCAACCACCGTTGGCCAAAGATGTTATTCCTCTGCCATCTGCAAACCGAAGGCGATGGCTCAGAGCTCCGCCATTTCGGGTGCCTAGTGAATCCTTTCTCGTCTCACAGCTGCAAAAAGGAAAGTCCCCTCTGCGTACCTTGCCACGGCTCCCAGTCCAATTTCTCCCTCCTCCAGCACCACCGCGTCGACATTCATCTTCACCCAACCTGCTGGAGGCTTTTCTCAGGTATGTTTCCACTCCGGTCTTTCCTCCTTCTCCAATTTGTGTTGCGCTCTGTATTCCTCCTAGTAGTTTAGGGCAAGACCACAAAATGATGCCTAACTTCTCCAGCGCTTCATCCTCCACTTGATCCATAACTGCACATAACCAGCTAATAGATAATAGGTTAGGTTCTATTTCAAAAAGGGGTCTGAACGAGGACGATCTCCAAATGCGAATTGCCCACTGACATTCCCTTAAAATATGATTCTGGGTTTCTTCCATATGACAGAATGGACATTCCACTGCCACCTCTTTCTTCCTTGATTCAATATTCTTATTTGTTGGTAAAATTTCATGCGCTAGTCTCCATAGGAATATCTAGATTTTTGGCAGAATTGTCAGTTTCCAAAGTCTAGCCCAGTCCATGGGATCATAGGCTTCAGCATTTTCATCTCCAGCCTCTTCTTCCTCTCCCACCGTTGTATCACCTTGGATGTCTACTGTGGCTTTCTTTTTGATAAGCTGCCTGTATGCCGATTTTACAGTGTAGCATCCCTTTCGCTCCGCGCTCCAAACTAGGATGTCCTTAGCTGGTTGCCTGGGGATTGGAATTGCCAGAATTTTTGTTCTGTCCTCCATGTTGAAATTGTTCTGCAACATATTAGCACACCACTCCCTTTTCTCATGATCAATGAGGTCAATCACCCTTGTCAAGCCCCCTGAGATTGGCTTAGGTGTAGTGACTCGATAGTCAGCTCCCTCTGCTCCTGCCACCCAACAATCTGACCAAATGTTTATGTCTGATCCATTTCCCACTCGCCAGCGAATCCCTTCCTTGACTGCTTTTTGAGCAACTAGGATACTCCTCCACGTATAACTTGGATCTGATCCTAATTGAGCTTGTAGAATATCAGTATTAGGGTAGTACTTAGCATTCAGCATCCTAGCTACTAGAGATTTTGGATTGTTTATAAGATTCCAAACCTGTTTCCCTAATAGTGCAATGTTGAAAAAGTGCAGATTCCTAAACCCCATTCCTCCTTCCACCTTTGACTTGCAAAGTTTATGCCAGGCTCGCCATGGAATTCTCCTCTCCTCCTTCTGTTGTCCCCATCAAAAGCTTGCAATAGCTTTCCTTATCTCACCATCCGGTATTAGGAAAACAAACATTGAATATGTAGCTTGAGCTTGCGCTACTGACTTGAAAAGTTCTTCTTTAGCTGCTATAGACAAAGTCTGCCCCTTCAAATGCTTTATTTTTTTCCTCACTCTGTCAACCAGTACTTGAAAAGCAACTTTTTTCTCCATTCCCATCACTGTCGGTAGTCCTAGATATTTCTGATGGAACTCTACCTGTTTTATTCCAAGCAAGTTGGCCAATTCATCCCTCTTTATCTGATCCACACTGGGGTGAAACTTAATTCAGATTTTTTTAAATTTACCACCTGGTCTGACTCTTCCTCATAGAGCTTTAGAATATCCCTTAGTTGGCAGCTTTCCTGTGGAGTAGCTCTAGTGAATAGGGCACTGTCAACCGCAAAGAGTAGGTGTGAGATAACTGGCCCTCTGATGCGGAGACCTGTGTTTTTGGTAAACAGTCGCCCGGGCCTGGTCACTGCGACCCCCCTTTGTGAGGAGGCACCCCTTCTCCCAAAGTTACGGGGCAATTTTGCCGAGTTCCTTAGAGAGAGTTGTCTCGCGCCCCTAGGTATTCTCTACCTACCCACCTGTGTCGGTTTCGGGTACAGGTACCCTTTTGTTGAAGGTCGTTCGAGCATTTCCTGGGAGTATGGCATGGGTTACTTCAGCGCCGTAGCGCCTGGTACTCGAACATTGGCTCGAGGCATTTTCTCTACCCCTTCTTACCCTGAAAAAGCAGGGACACCGTGCGTCCTTGAACCGATAACCATCTTTCGGCTAACCTAGCCTCCTCCGTCCTTGACCGCATTTGTTAACAGTGTTGCTAGACCTTCCACACAGAATAGAAACAAATAGGGTGAGAGAAGGCCCCCTGCCTTAGACCCCTCTCAGGTTGAAACTCCTCTGATCTGTGTCCATTCACCAGTATAGAATAGGTGACTGTTGTGATGCATTTCATGATCATTCTTACCCACCTTTCTGCAAATCCAAGTTTTAACATCATAGCTTCAAGGAAATCCCATTCAACCCTGTCATACGCTTTTGAAATGTCAAGTTTCGCTACCATGAATCCTTTTTTTGCTCGAGTCTTCTGCTTCATGGTATGGAAACATTTGAAAGCTACTAGGATGTTGTCAGTTATGAACCTTTCAGTGATGAAAGCACTTTGCTGCTCTCCTATAACCATATTTAGTACCTGTTTAAGTCTGTTTGCAAGTACTTTTGACATGATTTTGTAAAGTACATTGCACAGACTTATAGGGAGAAAATCAATAGGAGTAGTAGGTTTGTTCTTCTTTGGGATCAGCGCAATCAGAGTCTTATTTAGCATCATTGGAAAATCTCCCATCTCCACATAGCCTCTTAGCTCACTTAGAACCGTCTGACCTACAATATGCCAGTGTTTCTGAAAGAAACGAGATGACATTCCATCTGGCCCAGGGGCTTTGTTTGGTCCCATACTTTTCAGAGCCATCCATATCTCCTCCTCGGTAAATGGTGCAAGGAGAGTCTGGTTCATGTCAGATGTCACTCTAGGAGTGACTAGAGGAAGGATTCTGCTTTCCTCCTCTCTATTCCCTTTGGCAAATAAACTCTTCAAGTATTCCACTAGGCAGCTTGAAACTTCCTGCTGCCCCGTGTAAACACGCCCAGTTTCATCATTTAGCCTTCGAATTGTATTCTTCCTTCGTCTCTCTGTGGCTTTCCTATGAAAATAACCCGTGTTTGATCCCCTTTTTTTAACCAATCCGCTCTTGATCTTTGTTTCCATTTTATCTCTTTTTGGAGAATGATGTCATTTAGCTCTTGTTCTAGGACTTTCCTCTGCATCAGCATTGCTTTAGTTCTTTTCCTTTTTTCCACAGCCTGTAGAGCTTTTTCTACTCTTTTACGTCTCTTCTTTAATGAGCCAAAGGCTTCCCTACTTCATGAAAAGGAGTTTTTCCTCACAGTTCTTGATTCGATCCATAGAGCCTCCTCCTCCTGATTGATTCCATGCCTCCTCAACTTTTTTTTTTACAATCCTCATGTCTCTCCCAATACGGTTCATAACTGAAAGACCACCCCCACGTAATTTCCTCCTCGGCCAAATCTAGTTTGACTTGAATGGGTATGTGGTCTGACCCGCAACGCTCCAAATGATATACCCTCATGTTTGGGTAGCATTCTTTCCAGTCTCTAATTCCCAAGGCTCTGTCGAGCCTTTCCTCAGTGAATTCTTGTTCAGCTCGGTTATTCTCCCATGTGAATGTTCTCCCATAGTAGCCACAATCTTCCAGGTTGCAGTGCTCAATTGCTTCTTTAAACATCTCCATCTCTCTTGCTTGAAGCTCTTCATGGCCACTTTTTTCTAAATAATCCGTAATTAGGTTGAAATCCCCAATCACCAGCCAAGGTAGCTGTACCTGTTGACTCAATCTTTCCAACATTTCACATGTCAATCTTTTGTTCTTTGCTTCTGGCCATCCATAGACTCCTGTCAGTCTCCAATCTTGCCTACAGTTTGGCATTTTGATTTGCATGTCAATGAAATGGGGGTTACGACCCTTAACTTCCACTAAAATGTCTTCTTTCCACATCATTAGAAGACCCCCAGCTCTATTTTCCCCTGCTGTCACCCCTTTCCCATCAAAATATCCAAATTCTTTTATCTTCCTTTTCCATTCTTCTTCATATTGTTTTGTTTCCATTAGGAAAACAACATCGGGATTAGTTTGGCGTAAAAGCGCCTTTACTTTCTCAACTGCCGAGGTATTCTCATGGCCACGACAGTTGTAGCTCAATAGACTCATTGAGCTGGGCGGCTTTGCTCCTTGGCAAAGTCCACCACATCGCCATCCTTTTCATTTGCTATGGTCTGTTTGGAAGCAGGCTCTTCCGGAATCTGGAAACTCACCTTTTTTGCTTTCTTTGCCTATAATTCAGCTGTCTCTTCAATCATACCATCTCCCCCTGTACTCTGAGCATTTATTTTTTGTGGTGTTACTTGTGCAGGGATCAACTCTCTTTGTGTGTTTTGCTCCTGTCTGCGCCACACTTTATTTCTGCTTCGTGGGTGAGATTTCATCTCAGCAGTTCCCATCACGAATTGTTGTAGGGCTCCTCCCATCCCCAGTTGTCTTAGAAGTGGATTTTTTGGTGGATGGACGTTCGCCACTTGTATCCGAATTTGGTCTTTCTTCTCAGTGCATTGTCCCTTCCCAGTTTCTGTCATCATCCTGTTGTCTTGTTTATCCTTCTCCTTCTGTACCTCCATCTCTGGGATGACTTGTTTATCCACTATTTCTTCCGCAGGGGTACTTCGTGGTCCGTGTTGGAACCTGTGCTTTCCCAGTCAAATTTCTTCCTGAAAGAGGCCCATATAGTATCATCCTCTTTCTTTAATGAGTGTGACAGTCAGCTTCTAGGTCCTGGCGATACAGCTCTCAGGTCCATCCCAAAAGGATCCGGGCTTATTCCTGATGGCTTCAGACAACGCAGCTTCGGGTGTCCAATTTGCCCACAAGAGTAGCAGAATATAGGTAATTTCTCGTACTACAAAGCAGTGAATCGACTAACTCTCGTATAATCGATTCACTACTACCGATTTAAGAAGCTCTAACAACCTAATTAGATTCTATCTATCTCAGGTTGCCGCAGAAATAAATAAAAGATGACCAGACTTCTATTGACTCATTCAAAACACTTCAATCGATTCTAATCAAGCAACATCACAATCCAAACGTAATTACAATCAAGATTCCTAACACATGGAACTAGGGTTCTTCATACCCAAGTGAGAGAGAGTTCTACTCCATAGAGAGGGAGAGGAAAACAAAAAACAAAGCAGTCATACTCATCAAGATGGGAAGAATCTGCTCTGGGATGATGATCTTCACTCCAAGGATGATTTCCAAGCTTGATTGATGAAACCCCATCTCCAAAACCACTCTTAGGGGGTGTTCTTCGCACTTTCTCTCTCTAGGGCTCTATTTTTGCTCCAAAAAGTCGATTCCCTCTCCTTTGGCTCGAATTTGGGTAAAAACCCAGAAATTCCTGACCACACGGCCGTGTGGCCCAGCTGCCCGAGTGAGAGTGCAAAACACCGCGTTTCACTTAAGTGGCTTCAGGTACGCTACAGGGCTAAAACCACACGGCCGTGTGGATTTTAGGTGTGCCCGTGTGAGCTCTCTAGACTTTCCACACGGCCACAAGGGGTCCCCTACACGGCCAGTGTGGCTTGCCCGTGCAATTTGGTGCCACACAGCCAGATCACACGGCCGTGTGGGATTTTAGGCGTGCCTGTGTGGCTTTTGCAGCTTTTCGTCAAACGCCCCAACTTCGTCCAATCGACCTCGAACTCGTGCCCAAACCTTCTTTCACGTACTAGGACCTGAAATATCACAAACAAGAACAACCTAGCGTGAAATCGGCCTAAAACACGAGAGATGAGCCTCAAACGGTACATGAATGGTGGATAAAAACATGTGTATATATCAAGTCATCAAATTCCCCCACACTTAACCGTTTGCTTGCCCCCAAGCAAACCTGACTCAAACCAATACAACTCTCTAGACCTCTATAGCAACATGCAACCCCGATCGTCGGCAGAGGATTTTCTAGATCATTTAGCAACTTACGAGGTCAACTGGTCTTCTAAGACGTCTCCTATCTCTCTCAATGCGAGTACTAGACTCAAGCTAGGATCATGAGAAGCAGTGGAACTAAGACATTCAATTCATGGATAAGGAGACTCACATAATTCAACAACCAAGGACTCATTGTATCGGGTGCTTTTTCATTTCATTTCAATTGTTGGAACCCCTTCTTCTTACTATTTGTTTTTTTTTTGCTGGGGTTCTAACTGCAGTTTGTATGCGCGGTCTGCCCTTATTAGGTGAGCAAGAGCAATTTATGTACATCTGTCACTCGCCAGAGTACTTCTTTTAACTCCTATTCCTCACTTCGTGTGGAGGATCAATGAAATTAAGGGGGGTCGGAAGCTCTATCCGTGCCCTTAAAAACACATCCTCAAGTAGGCCAACCGTTCAATGGGTGGAAATTTTACTTGTACTAGAGACAAACTAGCTTCACCTTGTAGGCCTACCCCACCAAGGATCACTAAAATCTCTTCCAAAACCCGATTTTGTGCAATGAACGGTGCCACACACGTTGGGCTTACCCCATGTCTTAGAATT